TCAGAAATGGAGCCAAGGCTCAGGTGGTGAAGCACTAGTCTTAAGCAAAATAGCTCAGTGAAAGCACCCAGGCCCTAAGGTCAAGCCCCAGGACCAATTTTTTTTTAAGTAAAATGTCAAAGTTAATAGAATAGAAAAGTATCATTCTGTCTCTGAACATTTTTCACTCAGTGTACAAGTGGGCAAACATACACTCACCTCACGGAAGCTGCATTAAAGCAGGCTCAGTCAGATTCTGGGGTCTGCCAATTGCACACTGTGCCACAATATACAGGATGCTAAGTGTGTAAGTGACACGGAGCCCAGGCCCTGCCCAGGCCATTGCGCTAAATACAAAACTAACTGTGAAGATATCAGCATCCTCTACGGGAGCTGCTGCTTCAGCCCGCACAGACGCCCTCTCCATCGCTGAAGATTACCTCGGAAGCCACCCTGTCAGCGCATGAAGGAAGAGGCAGACTAACATGTGACCAGTGTCCAGCAGAGAGGGGAACCTGACAAGACGTCTAACAGCCAAGGCCTGAGAAGCGAGGAGAAAGGCAAGCCTGGCGAGGGACTCCAGGCCATGCGCTGGCCATGTGCTGGCAAGCCTGCCAGGAGGGAGAAGCCCTGCGCCCGCTGTTCTTCTCCCACGGCTCTTTGGTCCCATGAGGGCTTCCTTTCTGACCTCTGGCTCCATAAGGCTGTCTCTTCGCTCTCATCCCTGTGCACCCTGGCCTCCGGGTTGTGGGCCACAGGCTTTGGGACCCCTCCAGAGCACAGCAAGGCTCGGGGAGGAAAGTCTCAACTTCCCAGGGGAGGGGTGCGGCACCCACACTGGGGCCTCTCCTCTTCTAGGCTACAGAAGCCCTGAGGAGGACCCCCAAAGGACTTAGAAAGATGCCTTTCAACATGAACTGGCCTCCGTGGGCCTCTACGTACCCCAACAAGGCCTCCGTGGCGGCCTCATCTCAGAAGCTCTTGAGCATCCGTGTCAGGGAGCATGGGCCGCTCTCCTCTACCTGCTCTCTCCAGTTCTCACAAAAAACACCTGAGACCCACGTGCTGCTCTATTTGGACTTCTTCCTGCTTAGGCCAGGCCACCGGTCCTAAGAGACAATCACTGGGTCCTCTGTGCAAAGGAGGGCGGGGATGATGTTAGACAAGGGGAGGCTGGCTGCAGAGGGGACAGGTGGTCGGGCCTCTGTGCATGAGTTAAGCTCTTTCTGTTTATTGTATCCAGTGATCACCTTTGGAGATTCTAACAGAGACCAGATCAATGTGGTCCTAGGCTCCACTCCTCAAACCCCATAACCAGCCACACAAACTCAAGATAAAGATCCAGCATAGTAAACTGGGCGTTGGTGGCTCACGCCTGTAAACCTAGTTACCCAAGAGGCTGAAATCTGGAGGATCATGGTTCAACCAGTCCAGGCAGAAAAATCCACAACCCTCCAGCTCCAATTATCCAGCAAAAAAAAGCCAAGCTGGAGGCATGACTCAGGTGGTGAGGTCCTAGCCATGAGCAAGCTCTGAGCACAGGAAAAGGGCCTGAGTTTAAGCACTGGTGGTGAGGTCCTAGCCATGAGCAAGCACTGAGCACAGGAAAAGGGCCTGAGTTTAAGCACTGGTGGTGAGGTCCTAGCCATGAGCAAGCACTGAGCACAGGAAAAGGGCCTGAGTTTAAGCACTGGTGGTGAAAAAATAAAAAACTAAAAAAACACAAGCACCGTGATTCTTGTTTTCAACCATGAGAGAGAAAAACTTTGGCTACTAAGATTTTTTAACTTAGGCTACTAAGTTTAATTCTCCTCACCTACCCCTGCCAAAGTAAAATTAAAAATAAAAAAGGAAAGAAGAGAAGGAGGAGGAGAAGGAGGAGATTAACAGGAGGATGCAGAGTGGGGAAGGGAGGAAGGGAGGGTGGAGTAAGTCCCTGGAGAGTATAAACAGTGGGCTGATTGGTTTTTCAGTGCATACTCCCATACTCTCACTTACTGTGAGAGGCCAGGCCTGACTGCCTCCTCATCTTCCCTTAATAATATAAAAGAAAGGAAACAAACAAACAAAACCTCATAAATGGCCACGGTTTTCTAATGTTAACAGCTGCCTTCTTGAAAGTTCAGTGTCACCTACTTTAACAAAGGTAAATTCCACCATTAAGCAATGCCTCAACCTTCTTTACTTAATTTCTTCCCCGTTGCATTTGAATTTTTGTCTGCCAGAGAAGACCTGAACCACCAAAGTGCTTCGACCAATGAGATGTGGCAACCCAAAACAGTGGGAAGACAAAATTTCTATAGCCATAAGAGCTACACCTAACCTCCTGATTTCCCTACACTCTAGAACGTGAACAGGAGCGCACATCCTTTAATCTGTGGAGATAAAACTCATTACCGTACTATTCTCTTCTATCTGGATTTTTTGAGCTTTATTTTTACTATTCTCTCTTCATCCATACATGTGACTCCCTTTTCTTCTCTGTTACACAAAATAACTTTGTCAGTAAAATATTAGCATACTTAAGTGGGTGCTCAATAAATATTTGTCATATAAGTGAATAAGTGAGCAAAAAATTATAAAATGCTGGACAAAAGTCGCCTGAGGAGTTTGTGTTTGTTTATGGAGTAATACACGTCTAAGTTCAGGAATTTGCATCAAAAGTGCACTTAGCGACAAGCTTCAAGCAGCAGTTAAATATTAATCCATTTCTGTCTTAATGATTTGAGTTCAAAACATTATGTAACTCATTAATCAATCAAGATGCAGTATATTCGCAAACTGACACATTGAACTGAAACCCCTTGTACCACTACTTAAAGATAATTTAAAAGTTTTAAATAGTATACCATGATTAATATATTAAACTACAGTGCATATTTACTTGAGATTGGATCCATTCACAATCAAGCCACTGGTATGTGGGTACTTTAAGAACTGAAATAGTAAGATTACCATAGAAATTGTGAATAACTAACGTCAATATGTTTTCTGTATAAAGGGTCTAAAGAAGCATGCATTCTGTTACAGCTAGTTGTTTCTGAAGAAAAATCTAGCACAATTTCTCAATTAGATCTTTCAAAAAACCAAGATGTGCACAAAAGTGTCTTTTACAGACATTAAAAACGTTCATCTTAACAGACAACTTTTCTTGTTTAAGATATGTAACAAGTAGGCCAGCGAGTGTGTATTGGTAAGAAACTTAGTTTAAAAAGCCAATATTTATCAAGTCTTAGGTAATTATGCTATAAAAATATAGTTCTAGCAATGTGGAAAAATTCAGTATATCTTAAGGTGTTTTTAATTTGCCTACGTTCCATTATACCGTTAGAAATTAGTTGAACATAAAATAATTTGGACCCAGGTAGTTCTTACTAAGTTCGCTGCAGAGAAAGAAGCAAATAGTTCTTTGAATCTGAAGGAAAATGGGCTTAAATTAATTAACTAAGTTATAGATGTACCAATCCTAAATGATAAAAGTTACATGAAATGTTCAGGAAGTAAATATAAACGATAACAAGATGGTCAGTAGGAAAACAGCTCAAATTTGGCTTATTTACTGAAATCTCTTTTTGTTTCCTACATTGTTCTTCATGCGGTCCGGAGTGGTCTGCGATCAGCCCCACAAGGAAGACAGTGGTGACACAAAGCCTTCCCTTCTCTGTGCCTATCAGCCTGTCTGTCATGGCGTGGCGTCCATTTTAGGAGTCAGCGAGGTAGTGGATAAAGGGGCTTACAAAACAAAGGTTGTCCTTTTGGCAAACTACACCAACACTAATGATTTTCATTTCACTGAAGAGTAAAATGTTGATTAGTAATAAAGGGGGAGAAAATATTTCAGCTTATTCAAATACTTGTATTAGCTTTCATATATTTAAAATCATATTTGTATATTACATGCCATTTTCAGGAATGCTGGTGTGTCACTATAATTTTATCAAAACCATCTTAAACAATTGATCAGGTGCGTATTAATAGAAAGCAATAGACAATTTGTTTTTGTCAAAGGATTAACAAATCAATAATTATATACTCAAAACGAAAGCAGAGGTCTGGAAGCAGCCTTTTGTACTGCCCCAAATGATTAGTCCTCAGTGAATATATACGATTCCCAGTGTCCTCTCAGAGATAAGACAAAAGGGAAATATGAAAGTCATCATCTGCTCTTACAACTCACATCCTCTCTTTTAGAAAAAAAGAGTCCTTACTGACAACAGGGTGGTCCACAAAAATACGTGCCTTCCAGTTAACCTCTCTACAATCCTGCTGATTTTTAAGATCATAACTATGACAATCCAAGTATAACCAGGCCTAAGAGAAAGTGCTTAGTGTTAAGATATTAGGTAGAAAGTATATATCTAAGTAAAACACTAGGGAGAATTTTTTTAAAAAGAAAAATCGATTGACTTTCTAGGCTTTCCTTCATTTAAAACATTTTGAAAGAACCAGGCTGTAGTAATCGTTTAATTACAAAACCTAATCAACTACAAAATAATCAAAATTTTCTCCAACTATTTCAAACACAGCCCACAACTTCCTCTCCAAAAGATTTAAATTTCTATTCTCTACCACTCCCGGCCATTTCTGCCAACATCATAAAAATTACCTTTGATCATTTGCTCTCACAATGAGAATTCACTAATCGAATATATCTTTAGACATAGACACCTACCGCCCGCCTCCCCACCCACCTCCCAAAAATGGTTCCGAGCAAAGATACACAAGAAAATAATGACCAAGCTCACATTTCTTGTTTGCCCTTCAAGCGAAGTCTGGTGTCTTCGGCTTGCCTTTCTGGTCTTCAGTGCTGTCACTAATTGCTGGGGGATGTAGTTTAGGACAGTCTGAAGCAGCCAGCAGAAAGAAAAGCTGTTGCTTTAAGAAAACGCTTTCTTAAACACATGGATAAAGCAACTTTGACTCTGACTTCCTAGCTGGGTTGCATAAAATCTTAGAAAGCCTCCTTGAAAACTTAATATCTACAAATGGGAAATAAAATAAAATAAAGTCTAAAAACTTACGTTCTGAACACATTCCGAAGGATGTCTGATTTGATTTGAAAGCAGGTTTGTATTGATGAGCAAACTTTATTTTGTAGAAAATTTAAATTTTCTCTAAATAGAAATTTGCCTTGCCATCTTCTATATGAATCCTGTCTCTCATGGTATGATCATATATGCAAAAAATCAAATACAGTATTTCCCAAATGCATACACACTGTGGAAGCTTCATTTTGAAAAAGGCTTTTATTTCCCTTAATACTGGTGACTAAACGTCATTGTATGTACCAACACTTTCAAATAGCCTCAGAGACTTAAAAAGCCTTGTAAGTTTGAAAACCAAAAAGTTCTGAGTTTTTCTGTACCCCGGGACGGTTTTCTTTCCTGAAGCTCAAGCCGAGAAAGCAGACAAAAGAAGCTGATTTGACTGAGCTGTGCCAAGCTTGCCTTTTTTTCTTCCCTCAGCTCTCTCTCTCTCTCTCTCTCTGCCTCTTTCTCTCTCCTCCCTCTTTCTGTCTCTGTCTCTCTGTTCAGCTCTCTCTCTCTCTCTCTCTCTGCCTCTTTCTCTCTCTCACTCCTTTGCTCCCAGTATGGCAACCTTCCGAGCAGTCTTGGCGGAGGTCCAGGCTGTGCCAGTCTGTCTGAATTCTTGTCTGCAAAAGATGTCCTTTGCGGATCAATTAATACATTTGAAAACAGGAAACTGTGGTACGGTACCCAAATCCTGGCACCAACAGCACTGACTTCTGCCAAATTACCTTACAGATTTCATGGTGTCCTACCTTTCATAATCGTTACTAAAGTGTTCCCGGAGCAATAATGGAGGACCAGGAGCCATTCACTGCTCAGCGATAAGGAATCTGTTCCCCAGAAATGTCCATATGCGACATATGCACAACCTGCACTAAATCAGAATTCTCCTGTGAGAGGAGATGTATGCAACTTTAATAAGCACCACATACTGTATTTCTTTTTATAAGATTTGCTTTGCCTTGTCCTGCTGCAAAGAATCATGGGAGAATAGAAAGGAAACATGCAGATTAAAATTAAAACTATATACCCAAAAATAAGTCAGGTTTTATCCTATGGGGAGTGAACACAATTCTGATTAAGCAGTCACTCTTATTTTTAAGGACAATATACCTATTAAAAAGTTTACTAGAGATGAAAGGAAGAGAGCAGTTCTTTTCAGAACAGAAATACCAATTAAAATGGAAAGAAAAAAAAAAACCTCAGAGTTGATTTGGTAAAATCGTCTCCTCATATTTTGGCACCTGAAGTTTCAACATAGTCATTCCTTTACTAAATTCCTATCAGTTAAAAACTACTATTTTTATTTGTAGTGCATATATTTTTAATTTTATTGTAAAGGTGTTGTACAGAGGGGTTATGGTTACATAAGGCAACAAGTACATTTCTTATTGAATATTGTTACCCCCTCTCCCATTTTCCCTCCCCCTCACCTCCCCCCCACTACCACAAATACTTTTTGAAACAAACTAGCCAGTCTGTGTTTCAAAAGTTTACCTGATTTAAGAAATCATTGTTATCAATGCTATTTCCAAATAGAAAATAGTCTCATGTTAATATCACCATGGTTTCATAGAAAGAATCCACAATTGTTGAATTCTAGCTTGGATCTGTCACTTTCTAATTTAGGTAACTTCATGGTCTCAAATTGTGTAATCTATATAGTCATCACTTTGCTTACTTCCCAAATGTAAAATCAATGACTTTCTCCATGTGTGTTCCCAAAATATTCAGTTTATATGTGAAGTCTCCCTTCATCCTAATTGCACAGTAGTTATTTGCCAGTCAAATGTGTCACGTCACCACAGACAAGACCACGTGTCACTTATCTAAGGAAACTGAAGCCTTATATAAAGCCTTTCATATGCAGGTGTTCAATACATCTACTAAGTTATGGAAACTGATCATATAAATATCTCTCTGAAGTTATAGAAAGTATGAAATATAGTGAAAGGAAATTATGCATATTATTGAATCATAAAGTTGACAAATTAGGGAAATGCTGCAGATACATCATGAGCATTGAATTAAAGCCCTCAGAAAATGTCCCATGTTACCTTTCCAAATAAGGATGATAAAATATGGCAAGATCTCAGTAGATTTAAAATTCATAATCCAACTGTTAATAGCCAAAGACAAAGAGAGAATCTTAAAAGCAGCAAGCGAAGTGACTCATTTGTACAGGAAGCCCCCAGAAGACTAACGGCTGACTGTTGTTTGGAAACCATGGAGGCCAAAAAGCAGTGGGAGTAAACATTCAAAGTATTAAAAGGGAATCAAGCTGTCAACCAGTTGTGCACTGGTGACTCACACCTGTAAACCTGGCAAAAATGTCAGGCTGGAGATATGACTCAAGTGGTATTACTTCAGCTGTAAGCAAGAAAGCAAGGCCCTGAGTTCAAGACAAAAAAAACAAAGTACCTGTGTACTTTCTCAGTAAAGCTGTTCTGTGAAAATAAAGGCGTTATTAAGATATTCATAGATAAAATTTAAAACCAACAACAGAACTCATCACTAGCATTCCCCAGTGTTTCATGTCCCAGGCCCAGCCAAACAAACCTATGAGTGCTGGCAGAAAGCCTTAAGATATAACCTTATCCTGGCAGTGGAGAGTGGAGAGATGACTCTGCTAACTGTGTGAAGGAGGAACTCTCTTTAGAGGCATTCATGGGTTCTGACTGAGGCAGAACCAATGGAAACCAGGTCAACTCCAAAGCATGCCCTCCAACCAACTATGGAGCAGCTTGATAGAGATCTGTCTCTTCCTGATAAATAAGAAGAACCCCTTTCTCACACACTGGTTACCAACATCAGTTTAATACAAATTATAAACATAAATGCAAAGACAAGAACCAAATTCTTGTACTTTCTGACATGAAGACTTTACTACTCAGCTGAAGCTGTTAAAGCAGCATGGTACTGGCACAAAATATACACAATAAACAAGGGAAGTGAATTGAGAATAGAGAAGTAAACCCACATATCTATAGACAATTAAATTTTGACAAAGGGGCTAAGGCCATTCAATGGTGCTGGGACAACTGGATACACATGAATTTGGAAATCTACTTCATTCCATATACAAAAATTACGTTAAAAAAAATCAACCAACAGCCAGGCACCAGCGACTTACGTCTGTAATCCTAGCTACTCAGGAGACTGAGATCTGAGGACTGCAGTTCAAAGCCAACCTAGGCAAGAAAGTCTCTGAGATTCTTATCTTTAGTTAACCACTAAAAATCCAGAAGTGAAGCTGTGGCTCAAGTGGGGGAACAATAGCCTTGAGCACAAAAGCTGAGTGACAGTACCCAGACCCTGAGTATAAGCCTCGGGACTTGCACATGTGCACGCGCGTGCGCATACACAAACACACAAATCAACCGAGAAAAATAAAATATGAGAGATGAACTAATAAAACTCTTTGGAGGTAATATTGGGTTAAATATAGATGGGCTTGGATTTTGCAATGGATTATTATATATGATACCAAGAGCATGAGCAACACCAACAACATAGGATAAATTAGAATTCATCAGCTTAAATCTTTGTGCATCAAAATGCCTTATCACAAGAAAGTGGGACATAAAAGAATTCATTTGTGAATGATATACGATTTTCCTTCAGTATCCACGGGGGTTTAGTTCCAAGAAGCCCTATGGATACCAAAACCACTAATGCATAAGTCCCTTATAGAAAACGGAACAGTACTTGAATATAATCTACATGCATTATTGCCACATACTTCAAATAATCTCTAGAATTACTTATAATACCTAAAAATACATACTGTTCAATAGTAAGAATAAACTTCTCCTTTTGCTGAAATGAAAGAACACTAGAGAGTAACTCAAATCTACAGAATAAACATAGACTAAAAGGAAAATTAATCACAGAAGTAAATTTTAGCATGATATATAAATGTACTTTCTGTTTATAACTCTTTGTCTGCCTAATTTAAATTATAATAGTATAAAGCTGTTGTTATAAATATATGTTGATGGCCACATCATGTATAATGATGTAATTTGTGACAGTAAGAGAGTAAAGGAGGATTCCAAGAGAGATGGGTAGGAGCAAAATTTTTGCATACTATTGAAATTAGGCTAGTATTAATCTGAATAATTTTGTTATAAATAAAACGTTAACTGATCCTTAGAGCAGTCACTAAGTTCAAGTGTATATAATAAGAGAGATGACAAGGGACTTAAAATGTTAGAAGATATTTATTTACCACAAAGAAGTCAATAATAGAAGAACAAAAAAGACAAAGAAATATAGAAAATGCAAAACAGAACTAGAGGTATTACTCAGTGGTTATACTAATGCATAGCAGGAACATATCAAAGACATCAAAAGACCAAGGTTCTGGGTTTGTTCCTCAGAAACAAAAACAAAAAAGTAGCAAGAAAAAGAAAATAATGCCAGGCGCTGGTGGCTCACGCCTGTCATCCTAGCTACTCAGGAGGCTGAGATCTGAGGATCGCGGTTCAAAGCCAGCCTGAGCAGGAGAGACCGTGAGACTCCTATCTCCAATAAACCACCAGAAAACCGGAAGTGGCGCTGTAGCTCAAGTGGTAGAGCGCTCGCCTTGAGCTGAAGAGCTGAGGGACAGTACCCAGGCCCAGAGTTCAAGCCCCAGGACTGACAAAAAAAAAAAAATAGTAGTATTTAAAAAAAAACATAATCGGGAGTGGCGCTGTGGCTCAAGTGGTAGAATGCTAGCCTTGAGCAGAAGAGCTCAGGGACAGTGTCCAGGCCCAGAGTTGAGGCCCCACGACCAAACAAAACAAAATGAAACAAACAAAAAACAAAAAACAAGCACACTACTCCCTCAAATTAAAAACTCACAAAACACCACAGATAAAAAAAAAACATAATCTCAATATATGCTATCTAAAAGTGATATACTTTAGAGTCAAAGATACAAATAAGCCAAAAAGGATGCAAAAGATATATATCATCAAAGCAGTGGACAAGAAAGAACTGAAATATTTAAACTAATAGTAACCAAAATAGAGTTGAAGATAAAATCTAGAGCCAAAGGAGGACTCTTACGATGATAAATGAGTCAATTCATCAAGAAGATAGAACTTGTTGGAAGCATAACTAAAGTAGTTGAGCACTTGCTTAGCAAATGCCATGGGTTCAATCACCACTATAAAAAAAAAGATACAATCATTGAGATAAACATAGGTATATAAATATATCTATCTATCTATCTACATATATATATATAACAACAGAGCCCCCAAAACACATAACAAAAAATAAAGTAATTAAAAAGATGAACAGATAATTCAACAATAACATGAGGAGGCTCAACATCCCACTCCACCATCAATAATGGATAGATCCAGGCATAAAATCAACAAGGAAACAGAACACTTGACCAACAACTTAATCCAACTTGTCCCAAATACTTCTACTGGACAGTCCATTCCACGGCATGGAGTGCACATTCTTCTCCAACACACACGAA